TAAATATTCAATAGCTACATAAACAACAATAGAAATATACTTATTACAAAGATTAATCTACTCCAAATAAAAAAGCTCCAAAAAATATGTACTAATTATACTAGTTCAATTTGTAAGAAATAACAACCATCCTAATTCTATTTTATTTTTAAAAATATTTTTTGTAATTTATTAATATACTTTTTGTATATGCCAAATACAAAGTAACATGTTTGAAGTATGAAATATTAATTAAATGACATTTATTAATGCCAAATCCCTATTAGCACCTATGCAAATGTGTCAAATTTTTCCATATACTTATTGAAGTTGGATTAATATCCAACAAAAAGAAGATAATATTTTTTCTTAGAGAAAAGCAACACCAATGATAAATGAGGTATTCAAACTTATCATTCCTATAATATGTAACATTGATATTCTAAATCTATTTTTTTTGTATGTACAATCCATGATAATAGAAAAATGGTATTTTTTTGCAAGTTGAACATAATTGGAATGTACAAAAAATAAACAAGTAACTTTATTCTCTTCATCACAATAATAAATAAAATAATAATTAGCTCTTTGTAAAGTTTTCATATGATATATAATAGATGATTGTCTAGCAAGTATAATGCAATGATATTTTTGTTGTTCATTATAAATAATTTGAGTAATGACTTTGCTATTAGTATTACTCTCACGTAAAGCAACAATAATATTTTTTGGTAGGATGCCTATAGCTAGTAATTGTGAAGTTAATTCTTTTTTGGTTGGTTGCAAATAGCAAGCAAATGAATGAACTAACAGAAAAGAAGTAGCTCCATAGTTATGAAGAGCATTTTGAACAATCAAATGTCAATGAGTACTGTTATGCAAACAATAAGCATGCAAGACAAATGGACATCATGTCAGATGACTTGTACTATTTTGTTGGTGAGTATGACAATTTTGACTATACTAAATCTCTCCTCTGTCATATTCGAAATCAATATAATCTTTATCAGAGTATTATTTGTATATGGCATAGCTTTTATTGTCTATAAATTCATTAATATTATTAATCATTTCTTCTATATTCTCAAAATATCTCTCTAATGATACATACATATATCTCTCACTTTCTATTATAAAATGCAATAAAGTTATAGAATATATAATTTTTTCTTCTTTGTCTACTACACACAATTTAATATATAGATATATATATATATATATATATATATATATATTAGAATCAAATGAAGAAGTAAATTGAGTACATACATACTTATAGGACAAGTAAGAGAAGAGCAATAGAAAGATATTATTATTAGCAATTAAAAACTATTGAGAACCATTAGAAATTATATCCAAAATGATAATTCTATTTAGAGAATAGAGACACTAATAAGAAAGCACCAACATAAAATTCATCAAATAAATATATGAAGCCAGTGGAATAAAAATAATAAATAAATAAATAAATAAATAAATAGACTATTATTTTAGGAAGACATATATTAAGGATATAAAGAGTGAATCAAAGTGTTGGATTTAATCAAAGTGCATTACAACATATATATTAGGTAATGATATAATATAAAGTATTCTTTTATAAAAGATTTATCACACTAAGAATATTTTACATAGCACACTTTGATTTGTTGTCCTATTTGGATTTATTTTTAATTAACTTTTGAGAATGAATTTGAGAACTTGGATGAAGAATAAGTAAAATGACTAAGAACAAATGTTTTTTTGTCAATACCCTCTCTTATTCATGTTCTCACTCTTTTGAGAGCATTTAAAGTAGCTATCTTATAAAGAATGAAAAGAGAAAAAACAAAGATAGCGACTAGTCTTAATTGTAAGAAAGAATTTTTAATTAAAAGGTTATTGCAAAGGATGATTGTAATATGGTATAGTGAAGTTTGTTTTTAGTTCTTCAATAATCTCTTGTTCTTATATTTTCACTTCATTCTTGCACTAAGTGTGTGTTTGTGCAAACTGACTTGTGTTGGCTATTATTTTAGATTGCAATTGTTTTAGTCCACAAGATTTATAAGAAGAGATAGCCGGATACATTACTTTTATGATAAAGACTCTTTATGATTTCTAAAAGGAACCGGTTCTTCTTTTTGACCATACTATTTTGATATAATACATAGCCAATAGTTAGTTATTTTTGTATCACTTTACTTGAGTTAAAGAGTAGGATGTATATTTACATCTTTTCTACAATCAAATCCATGATATTTTGTGTATAGATTGATTTTCTACCATAGTCTTGAATTCAACAAACTTTATTAGTATTTTTCTTCTCTTGGCTATATAATAGATTCAACATTTTCTATTGAAATCATCAATGAAGGTTAAAATATATTATGCATTTTTTAACAATCAAATTTTGAATGATCTGCACTAATTGGAGTGGATCATTTGGAGAAGTCAAGTTATTTGTAACATGTTTTTTTTTTAAAATATACTCTATGTAGTGTTTGTCCATGACTCAACTTAGACATGTGTGTTTTATGTTGGAAATTTTTGGGACACTATTTACAAGGATTCAATTTGAGAGATGATACAAGCTTTTATAGTTCAAATGGCCAATATGTTTGTGCCATACTTGAATCTTATTGAAAAATATTAGCTCAGTAGTAGTTGTCTTGAGACAAAGATGCGGTATAGTGTAAAAGGTAGATTGTATGGTGAGCAAACATTTTTGCAATGAATATCTAGGAAGTTGTGATTTACTTGTAACTATCTTATATAATTTATTTTTGAGATTTCTAATTGCCAATAAGTAGATATTATAAGGACTATTTTTATCAAAGATGACACATTATTTTGAATTAAATACAATGTAGTGTTTTCCTATTTGTAAAAAAAATTATTAAAAGAAGGTTATTATTGATACTACAAATTTAAAGAACCTTAGATACTTTTTTTTTTTTTTTTCCTAAATTGACATAAATATTTTCTTTTCTATAATAAAAAATAATTTTATTTCCATTATTTTAATACTATTTTATTTATTTTGTGAATTAATATTGAGTGATAGCTTGGAATTATCAATTACATATTAACTTCCCTCTAAGTCAATGTACCAACTATTGTGGTTGGATTGTATAAAATTAAGCTCAGCCATGCATACATCTATAATTTTAGCAATACCAACCTTTAGAGTTTCTTAAGTTGGTGTTTCTTTATTATTGTTTACTTTAGCAAAGTAAGTATATGACCATCCACCTTTTGTGAGTTGGAAATTTGAATCTCCATATTCCTTAGCTTTTGCTTAAGTAATGTTATTAGGCAGTCTTGTATAAGGTGTTTGGATAATTTGCATTTGAAACACTTTTTTATTGTCTTTTGGATAATACTTGAATTTCTTCTATTTCTTGTTTCAAAATAATTTTGTATGTTAGTTTGCATAAGATAATATGGATAGTATATTTGAGATTTACTTCAAAATAGTGGATGTTGTTGATAGTACAAATTTTTGTGGTGCTAGGATTTAAAGTCACATTGCTAAAATTGAGCCATGAAAACCTCATTAAGTTTTCTTTGGCCAAAGGATTGCCATGGATCTTTTTGTAAAAGTCTTGCTTTCAAATCCACCATCTTCAATAATATATTGCCAATATTATTGATTATATTTTTTCAAAAATTTAAGAAACTAGAATAGATACTATAGAGTATAATTTCTACAAATTCTTCATCAGAATAAGAGTTGTCACAACTTACAAGTTGGCTTGCAATATCATGAATCTACTGTAAGTTTTCTCCCATGCTTTGTGCTTTAAATAAGAACTTTAATCAAAATAAATATAAATCTCCATAGGATCAAATAATAGGAATAAGGTGATCTTTGACCAAAAGTTTGAATATGGATAAAGCATCTAATCTTTTTCTTTGTCTTTTTATGAGAGTGTGGATCTAATTGCAACGTCAGATGTGTGAATGTGGCTTATTGATTCTTCTACGCCTCTTCTTCTTAATTGCAAGATGATGACACTTGTCCTATAATCACTAAGTTTATTTTTTATTGGAGATGGATGTGCACAAATCTCAATGCCCTCTTGTATATCAATATTTGTTCCATCCAAAAGCTCTATGTAGTGTAGTTGTTGATGTTGTCTAGCTTCATGCTATTTGAAAGTTTCTTTGTGATATCCATGTTGGCAAGCATTGGAATCTTACTATGTCAAATAGAAGAGAGTTGTAGATTGAAAAAGAACATAAGCTATGTTGATGCTACAATAGTGATAGTTCTATAAGAAGGAAAGAATACAAACAATAGTAAAAAGGGTTGCTTTAACTATGCTAGAGTGAGAAAGATGAGCATGGGCTCTAATATCATATTAGATTTAATCAAAGTCCATTACAACACATATATTAAATAATGGTGTAATACAAAGTATTCCTTCATAAAGAATTTATCGCACTAAGAATTTTCTACATAGCACACTCTAGCTTGTTGTCCTAATTGGACTTATCTCTAACTAACTCTTGAGGATGAATTTGATAACTTAGATGAATAATAGGTAGGATGACCAAGAATAGATGATATCTGTCATGAGGTCCACCTAAAATTGTCCTTAGTTGTTTCCTCCTAGTTTTGATAGGAGACAAATTTATTATGACCAAAATAGAAGACAATAAAAACAAGTATTTTAGGGAGCTTCATCACTCTAGAGGGCATCGACAACTCTTGGATTCCCTCTTGAACCATGGGTGCACATGGATTTTTCTCAAAAACTTCTTTGTACCATTCTCCCACTCTCACGCCCACATATGTTTAGGAATCCCTGTAGTGGGGGAAACAAGTAGCTTGACTGATTCTTGCGTCCTGAAAGTCGTAGTGGGAAGAAAGGCCAGTCCAGCAAACACATTTGTCGTGTCGTGAACACTTAAAATTGACGTGGTGCATTGATGCTGTGTACCCCATAGAAAGAAAAATTGGGATACATTGCGAAACTTGTAAAGTACAGACGGACACTGTTCAATCGCAAGACATGGTTGCACGCAAACTTATATATTTCCATTTTGAACTTTACTATTCGTAATGTCGATCAGGTAACGATGGCCTTCGTAAGCAAGCAGGGCCCAACAACCAAATATAGAAGGCCTAAACTATTCCAACCCATCTCGGATGGCTTTGTTTGTCTAATCAGCTACAGACAATTGGTCGAAATGCTCAGCTGTTCGTGGTTTACCAACGTGATTTACCTGCACGAGAACAGGACTCACCATACATACACCAGAAGAGAGAACGCTCAAGAATATTTGTAGATACAGATAATTGATATTCAAGGGACAAAACTGTGACACAAATCCTATACCTATATGTATCTCTCTCTTTCTCTCTATATATATATATAGATATCAACTACCTGATTGATCAAAATGAGGGTCGCCTGTTTTTTCTATCGTTCCTCGCAGCATTTGATTGTTGTTTTATCTCCTTCGGCTGCAAATGGGCAGGAACAGAGCTCTGCCGTGTAATATTTTCATCTTCTCTAGGTGTTGTCGAGTTAATTCTATTTTGTACATTTGCAGAATTTTGCCACCAGAACCGGGACGAATCAGGCATTCCACGCTCCATGTCAGGGTTCAAAGAAGAGATGCCTCCTCTTCTACCTTGGGTTTGAGATGAGTCCTTCTCGGAGTCTGCCTGCCGGTGTCCTACCAAACAAAGTGTTAAGATTTGTCATCCAATTCACTCTAACTAAAAACACAAGCAAAGACGACCAGACGAATAGGGCAACAAAAGAGCCCCCCCTAAGCAACGACGGTGCGAACCCAAGGAACATGTTTTTATTCAACAACGAAAGCACCACACGACCTCACAAGAATATCTCTAAACTTACCATTAGGAGCTTGGTCTGTGGAGTTCCTGCGCCTATCTTCCTTGGTAAAAAATGGCTTCAAGAAATTATTGTCGATTGCAGTAAACGTTGCAGTACTGTTTCATGTAGATCCACAAATGTCAACTTACGATTTCATGAAGCATGAGCTCACACAATTAAAACTAAATGTCATCAAATCTGAACATAATCACTGCAGCATTAATCCCATTCGCAAAGTGGGCACTGCATAAGTTGAGCAATTTGCACGTCAAACTATAAAGGCGGAGTAAACAATACCTCCTGCGCAACTCTTGAAATTTCTGGGTTAAGAGATCGACGGAATCGGGATTCCCATGCTCATTATCATAACTGGTAGTAAGACCTTCCATTTCCTCCTCGTCACCCTAGCGACAACATCCAAATGACATCACCCAAGTCAGATACCTAGATCAGTGCCATAATTATTTGTAAATCACCAGCAATTTCATATCTGAATCACACGTTCATTCTTTAATTTCAATAATATCCGTTGAATGCAGTATTCAAATTTGTGTCGAATTGATTCCCAGCCTCACTTCAGGTAAACTTTCATGGCCGTGAGCGTCGCCCACAACCTCCAATTTTTCCAACATAGTTGAAGTGGAGCCACCTATCACAAGAACCTGCATTCATCCCAAATATCAACCAGAATCCCTAGTGGTCGAACCATGAGTAGCCAGAGTAAACATACGACTTTACACAGCAGGCAACTTACTATTAAATTCGCCACTATGCTAGCAATTAATCTACAAAGGCCTTTCCAGATGGTAGTTAAAACACAAGTCTTCACATTCTTCACAACGAGAGCCAAACCTGGAGTCAATATCATATCTAAATACTAATTGGATAGATAACACTCCTCAGTTTACGATATGCCTAGAGTAAACCTCAGAACCATGAATCGAGATCGAGTTTTTGCAATCCAAACCTACTCCAATCAAACCCGGTGGGAGATTGGTGAGACGAACTCACAGTCAAAACGACAATCGCCGTAGTGGCAGTGAAAATGATTTCACCATGATTATTTGGCAAGTCATGAACGGCCTGCAATGCCAATGCAAAAGCCATAGCTCCTCTTAACCCTGTCCAACCAGAGAACAAAAAAGCAGGACATGATGCTAGCATGTTAATATACCAACTCTATCATCGCTACACTTCTGAGATGCGAAAATAGCAGGATGAACAGCATATAAAATCGGGTAGGATAATGAGACGCTAAGTTCACACAACTGCACGTATAGTTCACCAAATTGCTTGCTGATGAGACCATACCAAAAAACACCAAGATATCTCACGTCCTTTCAACGTTTCGACAAAGCTATCCGACACTTAACTAAATATGTATTAGAAGTAACTATAAGTTCTAAACAAAAAATTTACTGACCGCTAAACCAAAGAGCTTTCTGATGATTTATTGGGATCTGTCGCGATGCAGGGCGTAGCATGTTCACAAGACGGGCGCATGGAAACACATTTGCAGCCCTGAAAAATCAGCAAAAAGACTGAAAGGTCTCAGATTATGCAATGCACACAGCATGAAGTATGCAGGTGGAGTCAGTTCACTACATGTCCGTCCATTAACAAAAACATTTCAAGCATCTTATAGTGAACAAATTATCGCATCCTAACGCTATAATATAACAGATAAATTATCTTTCCAATTCCAGGCAGCTAAAATCCACAAAATACCCGTCAATTCATACCTTGCTATTACAATGAACACGATTGAGAAGAAAATGAAGCCAACATGAGACCAGCTGTGGGATTTGATAGCAATATCCATACCCATATATATGAACCTGCAGCATACACAAAGAATCACGTCCATGCCAATCATGAGAATCTACTTTTTCATCCATATACTGCAAATCAAACTGTTTCAGCCTAAAATATCATCGAGGATAACGAGTGAGAAAATGAACAGCTTCTGAAAGTGTACCTGATCTAGCCTACAATTCTACAACTAAATTCAAGAGAGGAGAACCCATACACAAAGGTTTCAGCCAACGATGAGATCAACTGAAAGAATCCTGATGTAAATGCCTGTGCACCCTCTGAAAGATTGGGGAACGTGTAATGCTTCATCAACTGCACAGAAAATAAAAGATCTAATAAATTCAACTTCAACCATCAATAGTTGGTTACAACGATCGGCATCAATTAATCAGCGCATTGAAAACTAGACAAGATAATTCGTAAGAATAAATTAAGATAAATTATGCCTTATTAAAGTAGAAATTTGCTGCAACCATAAGCAAAGATCGGGCACAGCCAGAGAAAATCTGAAGTCATTGCCTAACTCAAAGTCCCACCAAAACAGCTGCTGCTATAATTGAAAGCTTAGCGACTTACAATACCACAGAAAAGGATAGCCACAATCCCCGATAAGCCAAGACCTTCGGCAAGCATGTACCTACAAAATAAAAATTTGATCGGTCAGCATATTGCCATGAAAAGGATTACTTTACATCAGTGAAAATTTATTCAATTACAACTATCTACGGACAAATAAAGCAAAATAAGACGAGGTCGTCGAAACAACTTCAAACTTTACAGTACTGTGAATTGATACTTACGAAAAATATGGAAAGAGGACCACAAGACAGCACTCCAGATTCTGTAAGCTGCGACCCAAGTTCACACAACCAAAAAAAGATTAAAAGATAGAGAATACAAAACTCTTGAGAATCTATCCATAAATAATCTGCACAAGAATAACCGTATGCCAAACATTGTAATTGTACTGAAAATTACTTGTAAAACAGGAACTTACCCATGCACCGCTAGCCCTGAATACTTGAAGAGGTAAGTCGAGTTAAGGATATTTCATATACGCCGACATTTTCAAGCACGATATTTCACACGTGAAGGACGATGGGCGCTACTACGAACCAAACTAATTAACCCTTCCAAACTCTGACCGTAAATATAAACGCCCAAAAGCTACAGTTATCAACAATCCCCATGATATTTTTCCTTTCATGTCCCGTCCACCTTTCCAGGAAAACAAGCTACAAATTATGTCTCACACTAATGTGCACGATAGTAATAGTCACGTGCACTGACACACGTCAAAGACAGATTATTTTATTCGTATTTCAAGATAATATAATCGGAAGTCAAACAAAAAGTAGTAGTTTTCAGGTAACAGCGATGTCCTACGTATGCGGACCTACAACCTTATGACAAGTGCACACATACTCTGGTCCTCCTAAAGAAAGAAGATGCAATCCACAACGTGTAGAAAATGACAATTTGCAAAACTTTCTTAAATGTACAGAAAGGATATCAATGCACATATTAATGCTACACCAACTCCTGCATCAATGCAAGAAATAGAGACGGTCAGATACAGAAATACACTTCAAATCTGAGAAAGTTATACAAAAAAAATGCAACTCGGTCACGTGGATGAACCTGATGAAAGTGACCCCACAAATATCTCCAGAAAACTCCAGATTGCAGACATGAGACCATGTGTTTCCAGAGGATGATTTTTAACAGCCAGCAAGGTCCTGCATATATTAGTAGCATCATGTATTGGGGTCAAATGTACGTGGTTTACACATACAAGTTCATGTTGTAGACTTATACCACAACTATTGTTCCCTATTGGCAGACCACGTAGCTTCCTATTCTGACCGTGTAGAAGTAAGAATGCACTAGAAGAAAATTTTGATATGCTTTATCAGCAAATGTAACTAACCTGTACAGTGAAATAGCGACCTGCCAGCGCCAAAAACAGAGTACATTATCCAAAAGTTACCAATAAACCAACTTCTTCCAACATCTCCAAAAACAGAAACAATGATAGCAATTTAATCAAACAGAAGCATTGACGTCAGCAATCTACCTGATTCGATTACAGGGACAACTTACGAACCATATTACCGAATACAATATAATCAAATATAGATTTACGCACCGCGTCATTTAGAACAGACTCGCCAAACACAAGTGCGTAGAGATTTACATCTGTTCCAAGCTCCTGAATACGGAAATAATATTTGGTCAGTGTGGAATACATTCAGAATCTAGAACGTCAGCAAAATTTTCATACAACAGAGCAAAACGAAGCCACATTTTATTCAGGAGCTATCTAAGAATTAGTTATACAGGAGAAAGAGAGCTCTGCAGAAAGAGCAATGGCTTTGGTGGTTCTTTTGTTGAACACGTTTGATATACCAAGTCCACAGGCAAAATAAAAGCTTACTAGCAGAGAGCCAACTATCACTCTACTATATACTACTGGAATCAATGATGGTCAGATGAGGTCATTGCTGTCCGACTCTTTAGGCAAAACTGAGATGGTCATTAGTACCTGAAAGATGGCTAATACTGAGACAGGATCAGTTGCCGAAATAAGAGCACCATACATGATGCTCTCATGAAACGGCAACCTGTACATTAGAAAGAACAATCCACCAAGGTACCTGCAGAGGAATTTCAAATTAAGAAAAAAAGATAGAAATCCGAACTTCCTACGCAGGTGAAAAAGCAAAATATTCAAGGAAATACACTTACTTGCAACCAAAGAAGCACGCAAGAGGTATAAACCGACGAAATTGAAGAGCGGTTATTCATACACAAAACAAAAAGTAGTGGAGGATGAAGTAAACACTTACACTAAAATTCCTGTAACAATTGACGTAATGAAAGTTCCCAGTATCGCAAAGGTACAAATAGCCCCAAAGTTGGAGAAAAATGGTTTCTGAAAGACGAACAACATAAGTCAGAGTGTCTAATACACTGTACATTATCTATTTAATAGACACCTCGATAGTAACGGCTGGCCAGTAAAAATTCACATTGACAGACGAATATCGTATCAAAGGTCAAGAACTATACCGGTTGCAGGCTGAAGCCGGATTCAGTAAAATTTCAAGGTCAAGGATAATAATCATGTCCGAGTCCCAAAAACACTCAAGGCAATGCAAAGTCTTAAAGTCAGACACCCAAGCAGAAGACACCACGTAAGCCACGGACTACCATAAACTTCATCATTAAAGCTTCTCAAAAACACCACAAAAGATTTCACTAGAAGCTAAGCACAAAAGACATTTTTGAGATGGAATGGCAGACGTCTTGTCATAAAAACATGTAGAGTAGGGTGTGTAGGATATAAAATAATTGGTGGAAGTAAAAATAACAAAAAGAACTCCTCATGAAAATTGAACCATTGCCTGCACAGCAACAGCAACAAAGTAATCAGGTGGAAGAGACGAATACAACATAATAGAAATGTCCACCACAAAATGAGACAAGCCTGCAGCATCATCCAAGTAGACATTAGAGGGCAGAAGACCAAAAGCAGAAACGATACCTAAAATGTGCCTCAGTGTTCGACACGTTCGCAACAAAACCAACAAAAAGTCCTGGCAGACAACAAGACACATTTTGTTAGATAACACAAACATCACCTCTTGTCGAAAATTTCATATCGCTTCATTTGCAATACGAGGACGCAGGCGTGCGCAAAAATAAATAAATAAAAGCATTCAACAGCGAACAATGCACCAATTCCACCAGTTGATACACCAAAAAAGATTTGACACTGCATTCTCTCACTAAAATCAAGCACTATAAAAATAATTATCAACGCCACAAACATCCATGACAAAACACAAAATGTTGACCGTCAATTCCATTCCAAAAAAAATTAGCTTTCTATGAGGTTCAAACCGAACGTCCTCAAGATTATACAGTTTCACAGAAATGGTTTCGGAATTCAGTAAGATTCTCTTAGTTGGAATGTACATAATATGTTGTGATGTAATGTAGCATGTCAAGACCATCCTAAACATGATGAAAGTGCTTTCGTCGCCTAAACTAAGTACGCAACCAACGGTAAAAGCACGCACAAAAACATACAGTAAGTACATTAAGTACTAGAAACTACACAAAGTACAATCTCCTGATTCCCGAAGCCAAGGCTTTAAGTCGCACATGAGACACAAGTTGCGTTGCCACAAATAGATACGAGCACCTCCAGACGAAGTACTAAAAGTCTCCTCGACAACGCGGATCAAAATCCAACTTAATCCTTAGAACACGTAGCAACTTACGTAGGGCAGAGAAAAAGGTCTGTGAAATAACCTAAGAGAAGAGATGCGCTCGCTTCATTGATGTAGTAAATCTTGTGCCGTCGCAGTACATGACCTAAGACAAAGGCCAAACCGAGCATCACAATTTGCAGAAGAATGCTAGCGCTGGCAATCTGCTGTTGGTCAGATGACCCTGGCTGTGGCAGCGGAGACGAAGGCTCGGAGGTCGCCATTTCCATTTCTGTCTGCTCTCCCTCTCCTTTGCCCAGGTAAGAATACGATGCGCACTATTCTGTCTTTGAAATATTCGAAGTCATGCACTACTTTCGTCTCTGAGCTCCTCGACTTTATCTGCGGCAAGATATACCCTATCCCAATGTCACTTGGAAGCCAATCTCAAACTTCGTAAAAGCCTGACATAGATGAGAATTCTCCAACGCGCCGTATCGTTCGCCAAAGACTGCCTTCAACAAATTCTGCCGTCCAAAGCTACGATTCCCTGCTGCTGCACACGCCCACATGCACAAACGTGAAAAAACAGTTCCAACAAGACTGCAGTTTCTTCGGCTTTCAAGCATCGCCCACTCTGCCTGCGCCTTCCTAGCGAACTTGCAAAGGCCTTGTATGTCAAATTCACCAATTATTCTAAGCCGAAACTTTCACGCCAGTGCCTGCAGAAATTTCCCATCAAAATCCTAGCTACCTACTAAACAAACAAAGCAGGCGCCATTTTACGTATCGCAAAATAAATCGCAAAAACAAAAACAAAACAAAACATCACAAAAACAGAGCATGGTAACAGAATCGACATTTCTACTCCCCCACTACTACTACCACTAAAGCTCAAGCAAAAGACCGTTCCTGGACGATAGGTCATCAAGCTACCGTGCAACCTATACGCAAACTCCCCCGAATATTCCCTCCACCACAATTTCCTACATACGTCACCAACCATGCGAGCAAAAACATCGAACTACCAAAACTCAGCATTACCCGCACAAGAGCTGATCTAACACAAAATTCCAAATCCACATCAACGCGCGAGCACAAAAAACAAGTTCCATTCCAAGGAAGCAAACAAAAAAAACAAAAACAAAAACACTCCTACTCAATGCAGCGCAAGAAACTATTCCACGGCACCAAGAGAACACCAAAAATTCGGACACGGTAGAGGTTGTGTTCGTCTCACGTGAGGAGCGTTCATTAGAGACGCGCGAGAGTGGGCCAGGTCACGGCATCATCGTCGCACAAGGCAGCAATTCGGCTCTCTCTCTCTCACGCCCAAACGCTAGGGGACCGCATCGCTGAGAAAGAGTGTGTGCCCTGCACTTGTGCACTCGGCCTCCGCGTGTGTGCCTTCTTCGTCTTTTTCTCTCCCTCCCTCCGTGACCGTGAGAGTGTTAGTGAGTAGTGAGTAAGTATCGTCTTTTTCTCTCCCTCCCTCCGTGACCGTGAGAGTAGTAGTAAGTAGTGAGTAAGTAAGTAGAGAGTCCAGAGCCAACCAGCCAACTAGAGCCTGTTCCAGTTGTAGCTTTTTTTCCCCCTTATCCCCTTTCACATTGCCCTCCCTCCCTCCATAATGACAGCACCCGAAGGCTCCATGCACTTAGCCCTCTCATCTTGGACCCCTTTCACACCGTCATCCCCACGCCCCGCCTTCCCCGCTACCCCCCCACTCACACGACCGCGACCGCGACGGGTTACACACCGCGTCCATACCCCGAGTTCATTTAAAATAACGTAATAGTAAACACAAGGGGACCCCAGCCCGAAAAATAGTACAATCTTATGCTATGGTGTTTTCTTCCGGTTTTTTATTACATTACATCCTGGAAAGGTGTAAGATTGTAATCTCGTGGTTAAACGTGGAGTAGAATTGTGGGTTTTGGTCAGTGAATGGTGGTGAGAACTTAGAGTATTTGATTTGTGTTTGATAGTTTTCGGGGCTAATTTTTTTTTCAAGACCAAGGTGGTTTTTGTAATTACAAAAAAGGGGATTAAGTGAAGGTTGTGTGTGCGATTTGATTGATTAGGTGAACATATGATGATGAGATTTGATGGTGTTTTGGATGGATCTCTATACTTCATCTCCAAGTTGAAAACTTTGTACTTATTGTGAGTGATATGATTCAAGATCTAAGTATGATGACATTTAGATCTTTGACTTTAAACTATTTTTAACACGGTTTAAAGAATATGCTAATATTTTGTGAATTTTATTTTTAGAAAATATGTAAGTAAGATGTAATTAATTTACAAGAATGCAGTCATAGAAGATGTAAAGAATTATATACAAAGAAGAAAATATAGAAGAAGAAACAACTTGTTCGTTTGTTTACATTTGTATATAAAATTTTGCACGTATTTTGTTGTTACAGTTTGTTATCTATTTCTTTTTTCTTTCTTTTTTGTCCATTTATTTTAACAACAACTTATGGCTTTTAGTTACATGATTTAAAAATATATATATATATATATATATATTGCATACATGCATAATATATATGATGCTTATAATCTGTAACAGAGAAATCTAAATAATGATATCTGTGATTTCTTTGGGGAATTATTTTATTAATATCCTAATGATGGTCCTTAAAAAAGTCACTTCAATTTGATTGAAGTATGCTTCAGATTATCTCAAATAAATGCATAGATCCAAACCTTTTAGTTTCAAATTTTCAAATTTTCAAAAATAAAAGCCATTTACCAAGTAATGGTGTATTATATACTAAACATTTTGATAGTTATTTTCTAGATTGAATTAAGTAATTAATAAATAAGAAATCTTAATAACTGTTATAAATAATTTCAAAATTAGAATTTGATGTGTAACATAAATGTTTAAAAGTAGCATGTGATTCCATAATATCAATAATTTGAACCTTGTCATCTTAACAAAGAGTTGACTGATGAGTATTAAACCAATCTCTCTTTTTGTATAACAGTAAATGAATATTTACTGCACTTGATTCAGAACTGCTTAAGCATGAAATAAAAACAATTCAGGTTCTAGACATGAGATTAACAATTTAATATATTCACACATTTTTTTACTTTAAAAAAATACCAGAATGAATTTCTTTCACTTGATTATAAAATCACATCAAATCATAAGATGTTTTAACTGGACAAAATTCTTTGTAAAAAGAATGCGGTGATTTTATTTTTTCATTAATTTTATATTCTCACTAAAATATTACTCTATAAATATGATGCATGTAATATCGGCAAGAAATGGTAATCATTTAATAAGCGATTGAATTGCAAGAGACTAAAATCACAAGAATGAAATATGTCTAAATTTAGAATTGGAAATACTTCTATTTGTGAGTCAACTTTCAATAGGCAATATAATAAGGATTATAATGTGCTAATAGATCCAGATCCTTGAATTCCATATTATGCATTGGATAGAAAACAAAGGACCATAAAATTGTAAATGATTCAAAGAAAGTTCATTAGAATGAAAGATTGCATGAAGATTTAAAGAAATAAGAAATCAAACAAATAAATAATAAACAACAGAAAGAGCCAATTATGGTAGCACTGTTTTTAAAAGAAATTTAAATATAATGAAGTTGTTACCTACCTGCAATAGTGTTACCTGTTCAAGGAGCAATAAGTGAAGAGATAAGATTCTATTATTTATGCCATTGTGCTATAAAGTTAAAATATTAACATTGAAAAAAAAAAAAAAAAAAAAAAAAAAAAAAATCTCTTAATTTTGTATCAATTCAAAATAATTCATGCATTTTTGTTATAACAAAAATTTAAAACTTAATTTTTTTAATACTATTTTATATATTCTTTACATTTAAAGAAATGTTAAAATAATCTCAGATTTTATTAAAACAATCCACCCATCCTAACTATCATAAAAAAATAACATCTAGATTCATTATTCTACTATTGGATTTGCAACCAATGAAAACAAACCACATTTATCATTGTTCTAATATTCATCATTATTACATCATGGAAGTCATCTAATCTTTTATCTTTCTACAAAAAAATATTATATTTTTTGTTTAAAAAGGAGCAAGAGATAGATTTGAATTTAGTATTCTTGTCACGCCTTCCATCTCTTTCTTACATCATATCACATCGTGCTTTGCCCTTAGCCTATCTTGCACCTCGTTTTTTCTATCTTTGTTTTCTTTCTCCCTCTTCTTCTCTACTTTCTTCACCTACTTGAATATGCTTACATGTCTTAAGATTTGTTAGTTGGCTTTTGGTACATGTTTTATGCCCATCAAGGTGAACAACATGCTCCCACTCTTTATATTTGAAGGTTTTTTTATATTGTCATTAACAAAGAAGTCATTGAATAATATATACCACAATATTTGTACAAAAATTTTACAACTTCCTTAGAATGTTAGACAAAATTGATGAAGGAGAACATTATATCCTTATAATTGCAAGTTGTAGTCATGTGGCATGTGTGATACTAGCAATGCACGTGGACGTCAAGGTGAAGATGGAAGATCTTACTTTAGAACAGAATTTTTTATAACAATTTTTTTTAATTTTTATGCATGCCAAATATTACATATGGTGCAAATGGAACTTGAAGTCAGATAAAGCAAATTGATTATGGATGTTGGTTTTGTTTAAAGATAGAAGGTTATAGTAGACAAAACTATTTGTTTCTATGTAGATAAATTTGAAAAATTTAAAAATTTCTAATGACTTAATTAGGAGGTTTTGTCATAGACAAATATATTTATTTAATATTTACCTAAATAATATGAATAGATAAAAGTAAATAAAAGTAAATAAATTTCATAATATCTTCTAAGAAACCTTCTTAAAAGCTTTAATGATGTAATTTCACTTTTAAACATGTTTATAGATAATCAACAAATTAAAAACTTAGCCAACAAATTAACCACATATCACATGTTTTGATAGCTTGTGATACAAGTTAATGATGTGGTGTACATATAAAAAATTTACCTTGAAAGTTAAGACATGTTTTTTGCAAATTAGACATGTGTTGGAGGTCTTATAAAAATTATTACATAACTCTTAGGTAGATAATATATATATAAAGATAAGAGTGAAGACTTCTTCACTCTTATCAACTTTTTTCTTGCTTCTAGTCTAGTTTTAAGAATCTCTATTTTTCTTGTCTTTTGGTAATATCTATATATATATATATATATATATATATATATAATTATTCTTATTTTATCATCTTTCTTTGAAAAAATATTTACTTGTTTATTTGAAAAGATGTTGGTGTTATCATTACATTGAAATAAGAAGGATTATGCTTATATTATAGAAAATCTAAGTTCATTACTCAATATTGTCTAAAGAAACAATGCAACTACAAAATAAGGAGTGTAGCTATTAAAAAAGATAATATGTCAAAAAATGAGTTTGTTTAGTTATAATATGGACGGTGTAGCTGTAATCTTGTATAATACCTAGTGAAAGTTTTATTCTCTTCTCAAAATCCTCTCTTTGTTTTACAATAGATGCTAATTTAGGATCTAAACATCACAAAGCTTCTACCTTGCTAGATTCAAGAACCTTTGCTTGTATCTTAAATAGAGAGTTTGTTAAAAAACATAGCATACCTTAGTAAAAAAACAATTAAATATATTCATATAGAAATTATAGATAGTTATTTGTTGTCATTTGGAGATATTATTTCTAAATGTTTTTCTATATAAATAGTAATTAATAGTCATAGTAAATTTATAATATTTAATATTATTAAATTTCCATATAATTTAGTCATTTTTGGTTTATTATGGCTAAAAAAGTATAACCTTCAAATAGATTGGATTTTTTCTAGTCTTGATTTTTTTTGAGAGTATAAATAATATTCTTATTAATTATATAAGAAGTCATAAGTCTAGTACAACCAAATTCATATTTGTAAGTATAAGAGCTTTTTTGGATGCTGTAAAAACAAAATACACCTTATGTTATTTATATGACACCTATTTTTAATAATATAAAGACTTCAAGTAGCATTCTAAGCCAATATTAAGATTTTAAAGATGTTTTAAAAAAAATAAACATATTATTTTGGAATATTATCACTATGTGTTACGGACCATATATAAGATAAGGATTTAAGATCAAAAAATGGAATTAGCTTGACGTTAAAAGAACAATTAGATACAAGGTAAGAAGGTCCTAGCTAGACCACAAGAAGTGAGTTGTATAACCTTCAAATAGATGTGGATCTCCTTAGCCTTGATTCTTATATATACTAGGACCTATGAAGCTTATTGAGAAGTTTTTATGAAGCTTGAGAACAAAGCAATCCTAAGATCTTTCTTCAATACCTTCTTAAGACCTCCTATGACCTTTTAGAACTTTCTTAGAATCTATTGGAACCTTCCAAAATCTTTTGGAACCTCCTAGAA